TCACTCACACACACACACACACACACACACACACACACACACACATTTTCCTTTAAATTGGACTTAATAGCTCGCAATTGCAATTCTGAGAAAAGAAGTCAGAATTGTGAGAGAAAAAGTTGTAATTACAGTGGCAGAAATGGGCTTCCATACATTTCACTTTAAAAATTTGTACAAGAAGCAATGTAAATGTAATTTTTTTAGCGGTTGATTGACATGTGAGTCGGCGGCCCGTCTGAGCCCAGCCGGTATGTAACCGACCTTCAGTGCTGAAATGTGCATGAAATAATGTCAGGTGTTGTTTCAATAATGCTAAATGGTTGTGAAAAGCTTAACAAAATACCTCTAAATCAAGACTGAAATTCTAACAAACACGGTAAAAGACGTTCACAACATAGTTTTTGTTCTGTTCCACCTTTAAATGAATTTGAGAGAGTTTATGCATGTGTTTGTTAACCCGAACACATGCGACACATCTGCTCCAGCTGTGCTGTCACTGTATTTCATCAAAGAGACATGAACAGTGTGTTTCTGCGTGTGCACTTTTACAACAGCTCAGAGCGGAAAGTCAGAGATGAAAATATACAGAGACGCTTCACCAGAACTGAGACTCAGAAACAAGAGAACGAGCCGAGAATCATTATCTCTACAACATTATCTGAGCTTTAGTTATTTGCTGTGTATCCCATTAGACTCAAACTTCTCCGAGGGAGGAATTATGGGATTTCAGCGGCAGCACACGTCTCTTGTTAGAGGTGTTTGATAAGGCGTTCATCATTACTGTTACTAGTTAGTGATCTGAACAAACTCCTTAAAGGCATAGTTCACCTAAAAATGACAGTTCTGTTAATAATTACTCACACTCGTCTCTCAGACTGATGATTTCTGATGCTTTTTTTGTCCCTTTTGTTCCTTTCTACCTCTTGCATCGGGTAATTGTAGATTTAATAAGATAACGGAGTCTAATTACTCCAGCTGTGTGATGATACAGACTGTGAGATGGTAATTACACTGATAGATTATAATCACTTACAGCGTATTGTTTTTGTGTCTTGCTGGATTTAACAGCCCTGAGCTGAAGGAACGAGCAGATATTACAGTGATAAAACTCAACAGACAGTATTTCACACTCCTGAAGCATTCATTTGTTTCCCTGAAGTCCATTTATAATGTCAGTCAAGGTTTGTTGCACCAAAAGAGTCATAATTTAAGTTTTCATGACCATTTTCACTCCTTACTATTAAATCTTAAATCTTTAAATCTATTAAATCTTTTTTAGCTTTGTTTTTCATCGAATATTTATATTTTATTTTCAGCTTTATTTCAATTACCTGTCAGTAGTTTCAGTAGTTTTAGTTTAACTGTAACAACATTGTTTCTGAATGAACCATAGTTTCAGTTCAAACGTATGCAGTTTTGTGTTGTGAATGTTAGTTTTTGTCTACTTAACCCTTATATCAGATGTGTTTATTTAAGAAAAGCAAGCCAATCCTGTGCTCCATCATTCTAGTATTATTGTAGCAGTGGTGAGTAGCAGCTAATTTTTCTGACAAACATCTAGTTGCTGGTAGAAGTTTATCTGAGGCAGATGCACTGAGTGAGATCTCTCATGAATGGGAAGCTGTGAATGTAATGTTCTGCACTGCTGTGTTTTGTAATTGTGATAATTGCCGTGCAAATGGCCATAAAACTCGCCAAATAAACCGTTACGGCGTCTCATTCGGTGTCCGCTGGCTGAGAGATGTACTGACAGAGCTAGAAAATAATGGCGCTGCTTTAATTGAACCTGTGAGGATGCTGAAGAGCTCCTTCATACACATTTAATAAGAGGTTTTTGAGCATTTATTGCAGTGTGAGATTGGTTTAGAGAAGGTAGCAGAAGCAGGAGATGGAGAGAAAAATCGCTATTGAACCAAAGCAAAGCAAGAATGAATTATCTTGGTTTTATTCCCCCATGAATTTGCATGATAAATGTGGCAGAAAATGCTTGTAAATAAACATTTGCTCATTGCAGATGGAGAACCTGAAGGAGAACAAATATAATATTTCAGAAAGATTTGAACTGTCTTGTGTGTTTAATGAATGAATGCAGCTTCACATGAATGAAGTCAGACTCTTTGTGTCTGTTTCTGCAGAATACTGAATTCTATCAACAGAGTCTACACATGTACCAGCAGGAGGCGCTCAAAGCAGAGGCCACCGTTAAGTGAGTGCAGATATGACACAGATTTTCATATTTTAAGTTTTTATTTTTATTTATTATT